TGCGACCGATGAGGATATCATGAAATCTATGGCAGAAGAAGTTGAAAGATTTCTTGACGTGGTAGGGCTAGAAGTAAGTCCAGCAAAGTCATACACTAACACAGAGGTATGCGCTGATAAGGCGGCGCTATTGAAAGGAACTAAGGGGTACCTTGGAATAGTGGAAAACAGTGCACCTACCCGTGAAACCTACGATGAAGTGCAGAGATTTTAGTGAGAACTGAGCGATTAGCTAAAACTGTACTAAATAGCAAAAAGTTTATCCAGTAAACGCGAATAAGAACAGCTAAGAAGATAAGTGCGGATCGACTGGATATCATGATTGTGATAAGAAGTGACGTGAAGTAATCCGGATAGGGGCTTGCATTACTAGTCAGGGCAGGTTGACAGCAGTCTAGACTGAGAAAAACCGAAAATATGACCTACTAGCTAATAAGCTTGGATCAGAGATAAAATGCAGGACCAAAATAATTTCGTATGTGATGACGGGATGGGATAGTCATAGAAATGAACGAAGAAGACCAGTATATTTGATTACGTCGAAGCACATATCCAATTGATAGTGCTTAAGAAGCATATCATTCGATGCTCGCTGTGGATTTTACGAGGGCGGAGTGAAAACGATGAGCATAACAAATCTGAGTGCAAGATTAGTACAGCAAATACAGCCAGAGTGTCGAAATGCGATCCAGCGCCAGACTTAATAAAGCGAAAACGAAAACTAACTTCCACAGAAAACTAACTATATATATAAAAAATAAATTCGTTTTTCTCAAATAAAAAAAAGCAAAAAATTTTTCTGACCTTGTAGCAATTCTGAACGTCCAGAGCGTGAAACAGTCATCGAACAACGGTAATCACTCTCAAGAATCCAATCAAGGTTACGTCCTCCATCTGCAGTTCTCAAACTAGTTGCCAGAATTTTCCGTTCCCAAGGAGGTGATCGAGGAGGTGATGGAGAGCGAACAAATGATGACGAACGACGATGAAACATTATAGTCTTTCTTGAAAGAAATAAGAAAACTTGATGCTTCGCTTAGAGAGAGTATTCTATGATATCATTTGATATTGTTCTGTCTTCTTAATTGTATTATGAAAGCAAAGTTAAATTGTTCATGTCTCAAATATGATAAAATTACAGTCAACCAACTTTTTCCTTTCTTCCAGATTTGTTGTTCCATCACTAACGAAATTAACAGCTGTATGGGCCAACTGATTAGGTTCTCGGGTAAGACATGCGTCTTAAAGTAAATGCGATCTCTAGTTAAATTAGAATTCCAAATCTAAACACTCAATGTGATGCTTAACGTTATTTTTCGATCATGAATGCTCATGAAATTTTAAAACATTGAGTGATTTTACTCACCCACAACAACGAATTCACGAAAAAAGATAGATAACACGATAGACTATTTAGGATTTGCAAGATGCACAACCACGGTTTTGGCAAATGAGCTCGCATAATAAGAAATATTTTATACCTTGCTGTAATGATGCGCACTGAGATGACAAATCAGACGTGTCATCGATCCCAACAGAATGCTGCAAGTGAGAATTTCGTATCTGACACTGACGACAACCACAATTTTCTTCACGATCTCGTCGTCGAATCCCATCCGTGAAATTCCAACTTGAAGTTAACTTTATATAACTAAATAAATCTAGAAATTTGAATTCTGTTACTGCTTACAAATTTCTTGACACAGCCTCAAGTACTATGATTAGAAATTTTATTTGAAAGATTAATCAAGAAGGAATAAATTACCGGCAATCATCATCACTGGTTGCCGCTGACATCAAGAAACCTAAACCAGAAGAAGGAGGTGACTCTGTACTTTCTTTTCGTTTATTAGTAGTAGGAGCAATGAAAGATTCTTCGAAAAATCTGAAATTACAATAAGGATAGACAATTTACGAAAGCTACTGAAAATTAGGGCTATCTTTTTTAATTGCGTAAAAAGGAACGATTAATTTGCTCTGAATTACTCCAAAAGCTATATATACATATATATGGACCAATCAATTTATATCATGAAATCAACTGAATCGGAACAACCTCTGCGCTGCTCGTGCCCCATTGACTAGTGTCCCATACATAACATTATGCTGTTCACCACCTGGTCCTACTTCACATTCGCTTGACCTTTTTTTTCGTCGTCTAAATGATGGAGTACTCCTCAACCTTGTATGTCCTGCACTAGCTGGTGGTGTACGTGTATTATAACTACTATTAATTACGCTGCTGTTGAAAAATTCCGCCTTCTCATCGTTATCATTTTCATCACTCTGTCTAAATACCCAATATCACACAAAACATGCTAACATCGATAATATTTCTCATAATTAATGAAATTCAAGTTAAGGAAAAATAATTTTTAAAAGTACGATCTATTTACACCGTACTATACTAGATTTGTGAAGGATTTTCAATTAAAACTATAGGATTTTTTTTTGCTCGATAATAACGACTGCAACTATCATCATTTGCAAAATATTTCTAAATTAATTATTATCAAACCTTATTAGAAGGTCATCTGAGGCCTGGACAACAATTAAGGAACTTGGGTACCACATATGAACACCATCTACATCTACCAAAACCATTTTTGGCATACTACTTCTCACTGATGATGTCTGCAAAGAAAATTTTCGAGTTACAGAATCTTTTGAATAATACAGGATATTATACAAATGTTAACTAGACTTATAAACCTACTATTACGACAAATCTTGGAAAAGACATGTTTATCGTCCAAAATGACTTCTGATATCTAAGCGGCCAGCAAAGCAACGAAGCACGTTTGTTATAATTTTAAGTTATCGATGTCTGTTAGAAAGGTGACAGAATTTAGATTATAACCAAACGCTAACATTTTCAGTATAACCAACGTAACCAACGGTGTCGGCAGAACTTAAATTTCTTTCATCATTGACAATTAAACAGAAGAATTGCAGCCATTCGGACCATAATTTATCAACAGCAATTTTGGAAATAATTCCTATATTATCCTGACCACTACAAACTGTGCTTGAATTGACTGATGAGCACGGTACTAGATTCATCTCATGAGCAACAGAAGATAATGGTTCACGACAAATACCTGTATAAGGTGCTGAAGTACTTGAAAAGCTACCTAAAAAACTATGCAATTTATGACTACGAGTAATGATTTTATTTTAAATTATGGAGATCATTCGTTATTATAAATTAGCAATTACAGCTAACTTTCACTAACAAAAAATTTGTAAGCAGTAACAGAATTCAAATATCGATATTTAATTAGTTATATAACGTTATCTTCAAATTGGAATTTAATAAAGTTAGAAATTTTAGCTTGGAGGAAAAATAAAACGATGTCGAGTTGCCAAAGCATACCGCACTGAGGGACAAAAGGTTGACAACGCATTTGTGCAGTTGAATCTACAATCAGTGGTTGCTCCGGCAATAATACGGCACGCATTGACCAAGGGCCTAATATCACTGGTTGTTTTTTACTCAAATCTAAATGACGTCGAGATAGACGAAATAAGGTCGGCTGACGTTGAACAGAAAGAGTTGCACAAACAATATTTTCACCATGTACAAAAAAATTGAAACTGATCCCATTTACGTAGCTGAAAACAAAGTCTTAGACACAAACAAGGGCTTTGGACTTACAATAAAGTTGTAAAAGAAAACGCAAATATAGATTTGATTAGCTTACAATTACGCAAAAATTTAGCAAATTAATAGCTAGAAATTTAGAGAAACATGCCTGGGTGAGCAATGAATACGATCCGATGAAGGCACTTCATATGGACGCGTAAAATATTTTCCAATACGAATGTATCCATTCTTCAACATATTGCTGAAACATCAGATCCAGTAAAGTTACTTTCGATCTCAGTCAATTATCTGTGGGTAAAATACAAGACACACGACTAGAAAGTTAATGCAGGATAAATTACGTCGTGACTCGAAGCTAAAGACACCAAACTAATTTTTGTGCAGTTTCATCTACATACAACACGAAAAATTCTTGCTTACTGAAACACTTAAACACTTAAAAGCAGTTAAAAATTTTCATACAAAAGTCTCTCACAATTACCGTTCTATAAGATTATGTAGTGCCTTAAAAAATAATGTCCGCGTTTCATACTGTATGCCAGGTATTGACCAATTCCCCTGGCCATCTTCAGCACCTAGAAACTGCTTCTTGACAGTACAAAAGCTCTTCATACATCCCTCTCAATTGCTTTCTCTATATCTAATTAAACAAGCAAATAGCTGTTAAAAACATTTCCCTACAAAAAATATCGTTCAAAGTGACTAGAACTTAAATAAATGAGAAATGAATGGATGAAATTCTAACCAGAAACTAATGTAAATGCTGTAGGTCAAACGAGAACAGCAGCGGCACTAATCAAATATTTGAAATACGTGCTAATCACAAACTGACAAATTATTATCATGATAATTAAATACTTATAAATGTGGGAAAATGTGTCATACTGGAAACGAGCACATCCCAATAAGTAAAACAGAATTTTACTAATTGATTTCGACTTACATTACGGGAACTTCTAAACTTTGTAAATTCGAGTTATTCGCGACCACAAATTTAAAAGCTAAAACTTTTAGCACAACTTTAAGCTCATGAATCATTCATATAACATGAACAACTCACAACAGCTGATCAATTAAACACTTCTGAAAAGACATTGAGAAAGCGTAAAAGGCCTACACTCCAAATGACTGGTATATTCCGCAAGACAATCTGGCTCCTCTTGTGAATACCAAAAAACCCATAGCTCCTTTATCACATCAATTCGATAATCGGGCAACTGCATTGCAGCAAAAGTTCCGCTTGGTTGAGGTGGCTGTCGTCTCCAAGCACATAGAATTCCAGCTTGCAAGCATTTTGCATATGCACTTAATATAGGATCCTGCTCTAAGCTTGTCCATGCTCGCCGTGATATTGGTGTAGTCAGACATTTCCATTTTAGTCCATTTAATTCGGTCTGAAAAAAGGAGAATTACCTTTAGTGTTAGAGATAACGGCACTTTACGAATAAACATCAACTAAAAATTACTTCAGCGACGGCTCATCTTTAATTGACTGGTTTTAAAAGCATGAGTAAGATTTTCATCCAAACTCTTGTACTACAAAAATAAACGATCAAGTTTTAAATCACAGCTTCTACGAACCAATTATTTTCTTCCGCAATTCTTATCAAAAGTATAACTAAATTGCATAAAAGCAAGTTAATCCAGTAATCCATTTCAAATATACCTCAGAACTTTAAATCACACGTAAATGAAACCACTTTGATAATATTTATAAAGGCCTTACCAGTACCATGACATTTATTTACAATAAATTTAATGATCTCATATTTCGATTTCACCCTCATTTTGAAGATGAGTTGATTTTTGAACGAATTATAGTACGAACTAGCAATTCAGAAATCACTATACAACATTATGAGAATAACTCAAACGATACCCCACCTTACTCATTCATCAAACTGGTAGATATATTAAGGTGAATAAATTTTACCAAAGCAAAGACGTTAGTATGACAATCTTCAAGACTTCCACCATTGGTGGTCATAATGAAATGTTGCTGTAAGGTTTAGCTAATGCTGGCACAGAACCATGAAAAATAGCGTGCAATTGTAAATAACTGACAGTCGACAACGACAGATAAGAAGTTGCAGAGGTTGTAGGCGTACTAATTATAAATAACAGCAATGAATAGCTAGCAGAAACAGTAACAAGATTGCTTGAATATATAATGAAATATTTAAATAATTTTGGATAAGAGGACTGGTACAATAACTTTTTCTGACGGGTTTTCAGTCGATAATACACTTATATCTGATTCTATTACATGTATAGATAATAGAGCACAGAACTGCAACCCTTGACCAACCACAAATTACTCGTCCAATTGGCAGAAAGCAATAAATAACAGCAAAATATATTTTATGTTTTTCAAGAAGGATTTGAAATCACTTATTTCTCAGTTAGTTAAATACCACGACAGCCAATGACATAATATTGTGCAAAAAGACTGCATACATTGGAACGATAATTGAAGTAAAAATGAACAAATATAAGAAGTAAAAATATCTTTTCTCAAAAATAACCATCAAATTTCCATGGAGAGGAAATTATCACATTTTAGGCATGTCACGCGAGATTGGATGAAATAAGCAGAAGCAAGATCACCATCACAAAAAGACACTACTCTGGTGCAACTAGTGCAACGTAGCGACAAAACAGGTACTGGTGGATGCAGCAGTAAAAAAAGTAACAGCAATAATAGCAATAACAAATGCGACATAACACAGTAGCAATATTATGCTCTAAATACCACAACACTTCATTAGATTGAGATAATTCTGCTGTTGCTAATTCTGACGATTTGAATTAATTAATAATAAAGCTTCTCGATCTAAAGTGGGATCGTTGTCAAATGATGATTATTGAATAAATACGTTTGTCTCCTTCAACTCCTTCCACCACCACCTTCAATGTTTCTTCAACTCTGCCTTTTCTTTTTCCTCTTCTCAATCTGCAAATTTTGAAATATTAGATGTTAAAAATTAAACATTGGGAGAACAAAGAGAGTAAGAACACGAAGATGCTAGATAGATAGATTATGATGACATAGAACTCGCGGTTAAAGAAAATAAGACTCGGTGAAAACACAAGCAAGCCTTAATTTGCATCCAATTTATAGCAGCAACGGCACAAAAATCTCAAGATCCTTTTATTTTTTAGCACATACTTTCTAAGCCTTTTTTAGCACATACACTTTCTCATAAGCCCCAACTTATCGCTCATTCTCTCAAGTCCAAAATAAAAAACTTCTTTTATTGATCTAGTAACTTTCTTCAACTCTCCGCTCGTTTGCTCAGACATCATACATCTATTTGCTATTTGCCTGTATGTGTGTAAACTACATTTATCTATCTATCCACTAACTTTTCCTTCTCGCTTCTCGTTGTTATTAACACACTAAATTTTATGCCGAAGGTGAAGAGGACGAGACCTCGAGAATTCGCTTTACGTGTTCCTCCGCATCCACTTCTAACCAAAGAACTAGTTTCTCTCACTCCCATTACGACATAACCAACCACTTATAAAAGAAGATCTTTTGGAGCCTAATTTTACTACCGATCACACCTTCACGATCCACGGTCCTCAAAATATCGATGGTATACATAAACAAAACTCATATATAAGATAAAATAAATTAAAATAAAATGAAATTATATAAATATATATAGCTTTTAGAATGCTTGACTAAATCTAATGGTATTTGAAGTTTTCATAACAGAAAATAATATCAATATATTTTGTGTATCCTTACTCTCACATTTCCAACCACAATAAAGAAACAAAAGTGACTTATCTCACGCAAATTCTATTTCATGAAATAACAGAGCCTACCTTACTTTATTATTCATAAAACAATGCCAGACTTTAAATCTTAAATCATTTCCGACACTTTAACTGACAAACTATCACAACACAGTTTAAATTGCATGGTGCATGAAAGTATTCATGGATACAAAATTAACTGACGACAACATCTTAAGAGATGGTTTCTACCACCAAGCGCTTGCTATTATGAGCATGCAGTTGGCAGTGAAAATGAAAGATCTAAAAAAGTACCTTGGACAGAATAAACTAAAAATATTATAAAGGATATGAAAGAGAATAACGCTACTTTTTATGAAGATAAAGAACGCGAAAAAAGCGATACTTGAAAGAGAAGAAACGAAAATAATGTGCCCCCAATGCACTTCATGAAAACCACTCAAAGTTTTTAAATCAACCCACGTTCTTGACTACATACAAATACATTCTTCTCTATACAACATAAACAATAATAACAAAAGCTTATCTACTCTATCAATGTTATTCGGATCAAAGAATTCATCACATTCCATGCAATTAATACTTATATCAATTTTTCTGCGACAGCTTAAAATCAACCGTTGCTTTCCACAGGCACAAAATGTACTGGTATAAAGTGATTCACAACTACTGAAATTTGAAATGACAAAAATATATGACACATTACACGGTCATATAAATTTTGCAAAAATCTCTAATTTTAACACATCTAAATCTTATCTGAAAAAATAACCAGAGAAACAAGAAAACATATTACTCAAAATGTATGGACTTGAAAGGGATTTCTTCTTCCAAATCTCTAACTTTCATATCTTAAAAGAGAAAACAGAACGAACTATAGGTAGGTAATGATGCTAATATTGCTATAAATGCAAACATAAACATGTGTGTAAATGCCCAAAACATGTTTATCCTGAAATAGGAGGAAACATGAGTTACGTAAGAAATTAATTCCTTTCATTTAGTACTCATCACGCACCTTCCCTATTACTATTACTAGTAACATCTTTCTTCCACTAATAGGAAATCAGTTTCGAACAATTCGACAAATTTTATCACCAAAGGTAAGTCGAGTAACTATTTGTAACATGATAGACCTTATCTCCATCGTCTATTTAATTATTCTTGGAACTAAAATTAGTATAAACATTCATGAACTATGCAAAATACTACAAAAAACTATGTAATTTACGCTCCAGTAGGCATGACTGCGAAGGATGAGAAAGTTAAAGAATTAAACCTCGAAGAAACAAACTTTTTAGGCAAAAAGCAACCAAACAAGGATAAAATAAACAATTTCTATGTAAATAGCATGTATTGTAAAGTTAATAAAGAAGCGCAAAATTTGGCAATAGCTAATTTCAGGTGGAACACAAAGAAAATCAGTAAACTACGATGTTGTTCTACTGCCTAAGACATTCAATTCCATGAAATGAACAAAGTGCATGAACACTGAATTTCAAGAAAAATGTGTGCGTAATCTTTCATTTTGCGCAGCAAACACCAAATTGTTGTGCAAAAGATTTTTTTCCACTGATCGATTTTAACAGGAAAATCAATAACTTTCCCGTGATTTGCTGTAAGAGCATTGCATTTAAAAAATGTCCCAAGTTCTCCCATTACTGCAACAGAAATAGAGAATGCAAATAGCAATAGTTTTACATTATACACTGACTTCATTATTAGTAGCTGAACCCAGTTAGAGTACCATATATTATAACCAGAGATTAATGATATTTAGTATTACTGGAGATTGAAAACAGTCCGAGTTAAATATACCACAAAAGCATTAACAAATATGAAGAAAAATTTAGGAATATCAATTCTACAAGCAAACTTTCTAAATTATATTGCAAACTATTTCTACGAAAGTAAACCAGATTAAAAGTAGTGATATTCGATAATGGTATTGAAGTAAGAATGCTAAAAATTGGATTTATTGATAATTATAGCAGTTACATTCAGTGGTAAACTGGTCAACATTCTCAAAAGACGCCTAAAGCTACCCCTCAACCAGTGACACCAAACATATTAAGAATAACATGTACTTACGCAGCAATAACAGCAACATAAAGAAATATACCAATGATAATGGCGGAAATATTTCGACACTTAACAAATGAAGGTAAATCAATGTAATTAATAAATACATGATAAATACTGATATACCAAATTTCATAGTAATACCGAAAGAACTATAACGAATACAGTTAAAAACGGGAGTACAAGGATGCTAATGCATCTATAACCGATCATCGGGAAAGAAAAGTATCACAGAAACAACTACCACTTTACAAATCTACAACTACCAATAGAAATGTCAATTGGAACTTTGGAAGAGAAAATGGTAACAGTAGGTGACATAGTGGGAAGGAGGAAAAGATACAGATACAGATACGTAAATAATAGAAAGATAGACAGATAGATCCACATTGATGTAAATAAATATATCTAGATGAAATAAGATCTAAATACATGCTGAGCGTTTTATGTCGTCATCGTCAACTCATCAATATTAACAATGACAACAATAACGTCATCATTATCCTCATATCATCAGTAACAGCACAATCCATCAGTTCTATTAATTGCAATAGCAATGATGGTACGTGGCTCCTGATGTCTTCCTTCCTCAACTTTTTACCATGGTAAGTGCGTGTATGAGCGGTGTGCGTGCGGGTGTGCATTGATGGATGGTAAGTGGGTGGGTGTAATTAGGGGTCGCTGTATTTCGCTCTTTTCGTCACTAGAAGGAATAATGGCTGCAGATGATGTTAAGAGAGAGGAAATCACCAATAATAACGACGATTATAACGGGGAAGGAATAAATGAAAGGACCAAAATGGCAGAGCACATTGCAGCAGTGCACTTGTTCTTAAGCGATAGGGTAAGATGCACGGCACGATAATTGCCGCTGCTACTCATTGATTGAAACCTGGATTGTATGTGACAGACATATA